CATTGTCATCGTGCGCACGCTCGCTTACGCACGTCTGGCATCTGTCCTCAGCATGACCTCACTGATAGCAGCACTCGGCTCCAGGGCCGTCTGACTTCGCATGCCTTCTTTGTCCTGGCCTAATGTCAGCCCTTTGGAGGTCGCTTGTAACTGCATGAACCGGCCATCAGCCAGGTTCCTTTGTTCTGGTAGTCTCGGGACTGCCCGAGTGATAACTCGCATCCGGGTCATCCCAACAGCTTTAATGAGACTGTGTGTTAGCATTTGGGTTAAATATCAATTTCTATAAAATGGCATAAGAAATGTTTCGGGAATCCTTCCTGTCAAGTCTGCTTGACTTATTGTAAGGGTTGAAATTCAACGGAAAATGTACACTGCTTTAGTAGGTATGCTTTTCTGCGTATCGTTTATGCAGATGTCTGGAAATATGTCTGGTCGCATACCAAAATAATAGTGTGTGGGATGTGCCCTGAGACTATGCTCCCTGGCAGTAAATTTTACAACCCCATTTAGGTCCCGGCGCATACTGCGCGCTTCCCGTCGCGTTTATTTTGTAAAGTACCTTTGACGATGGAGGTTCACTTATCTTCTTGTCGTACTTTCATCTAATGAGCCGTGGGGTTTCCTTTTTCCTCTCGTCAAATTGGCAAGTATGGTCACCCTTAACTCCATTTTAATTGGCCTCCTACAATCTAAGTGTTTCAGAAGACAGTTTATGTATGCAACTGTCCCCTTCTCTTCAGGTGATCCCCTAATGCACGCCAGAGCATCCGCCCAGCGCACCTATTGTGATATAGTCCCGTAGACAATTGTTCAGCTCCAACCTACTTAATAATGCATAGTTTTTCCCCAAGACTGGACTGCAACTGCATTAGTCCTACAATGGGGCGTAAATGAGTGTGTCCATCTCGCCCGCCAACGCAGTGTGTAGTGCCTCCCAGTTTCCCATTCTGTAAATGGCTATTTAACTATTACGGCCGACGCTTTTGTGTCTTTCTTTATGCCTGAAGGCCTTTCAATAGGGAATACCCATCTCCACCCTACCCCGCGAGATTTACGTTGGCCCTTGGCTTGCAAACAATATAATGTCTGTATAGGGTCACACTCGTGCTTTTTGTTCCTCCAGCACAGACACCATCGGTGTTTGTCCCACTTCTCCAGGCCGTTCAAGTATCTGAACTGGAAGCTCTTGCTGCTGAAAATGATATTTTTATTAGGAGGTATGGCAGATTTGCTTAATTTGAGTTGACCTAGTTGTGAAAAACTCGACCCAAGAATGATTAAATTCATGGCGCTAGGTAGGGCGTTTATAGCTTAGTGGATAGAGCGTTGGCTTCCGGTAAAGGCCTTCTCTACTACGCGAATTAAAATCCCGCCGAAT